GTTCTGGAAATAGGAAGAGAATAAAAGATTTAAAATCAAATTAAAATAATTAGATTATTTCAAACATTTCTGTTGAGGCGTTTTTAATAATTTTGAGGCTCTGGAGTTTTTTAAAAAATATTTTGGATGCGAGAATTAATTTAAAAGTACGTTTGAGGCTCTATAAAAAGATTAATTTTTATACCCTTCACCACACTGTGGTACAGGGTATTATCTCATTGTGCATATGTTTGTAACAGGCAAAAGGAAACGAAGTAGACCCATGGTTCCTTTTGAGAATATGCATAGAATCACTTTCTGAGTCGATTTATGTATGTCCGTCCGTCCATCCGTCTGTTGGTGTTAAATTGTAAACAAAGTACAGGTGGCATTTATGACCCGAATTGGATGAAATTTGGTACAACTCATTTGTGTGGCCCTAGAACGAACCCTATTGAAAATGGGAGAAATCGGATCAGATTTAGCTATAGCTCCCATATATATTTTCGTCCGATTTAAGGTAAATGGTGTACCAAAGTCCCTATATATCTTTCGATTTGCACGAAATTTAGCACAGCGTAATGAATTAGGTCTAGAGTGATGTGTGTTAAGTTTTCTTAAAATCGGTTTAGAGTTAGATATAGCTTTCATACATATTTTCGTCCGATTTAAGGTAAATAGTGCACCAAAGTCCCTATATATTCATCGATTTGCACTACATTTGGCATATCATGCTGAATTGAGTCTAAGATGATGTGTGTTGAGTTTCCTGAAAATCGGTTCAGATTTAGCTATAGCTTCCATATATATTTTCGTCCGATTTAAGGTAAATGGTGTACCAAAGTCAATATATATCTTTCGATTTGCACGAAATTTGGCACAGCGTAATGACTTCGGTCTAGAATGATGTGTGTTGAGTTTCCTGAAAATCGGTTCAGAATTCAAATTCGATAGCTCCCATATATATTTTCGTCCGATTTAAGGTAAATTGTGTACCAAAGTCCGTACGTATCTTTCGATTTGCACGAAATTTGACACAGCGTAATAAATTAGGTCTAGAATGATGTGTGTTGAATTTCCTGAAAATCGGTTCAGATTTAAGTATAGCTCCCATATATATTTTCGTCCGATTTAATGTCAATGGTGCACCAAAGGCCCTATATATCATTCGATTTTACACAAAATTGGCACAGAATTTTGCACGAAAATTTAGTATAGGTTGCAGAATGACATGTTTGTGGATCCAATTTCATGTTAATGGTCCCTCAAAAATACGACGTCTGTTAGAATTCATCTGTTTAATATAGCCAAAGTGGTGAAGAGTATCATATAGTCGGCCCCGTTCGACTTTACTACTTCCCTCACCGGTTATACCCTACACAACTATGTTGTCAGGGTATTATAGCTTTGTGCAGCCCCAAAAGTTTGTAACGCCGCGAAATTTGGTCCTAGACCCCACCTTTAAGTATACCGATCGGCATATCTCAACTAGCTGAGTCGATCTAGACATGTGTGTCCGTCCGTATGTCCATTATAATTTGCAAACACGCTACAGGTCACAGTTATGGACCAATCTTCACGAAATTTTTCATGTAGGATGGGTTCTGGCCAATGAAGAACCCTATTGTTTTTGTAAAAGATCGGTTAATATTTAGGGGATGAAATGGACCAAATACTTAACTTTTGTCTGATTTCCTGGGCGCTCCAGAGGCCGCAAATATGGCGAAGGGGATCGAGCCAAATAATAAGCATATGTGTTTTGATAAAGATCGCTCAATATTTAGCGGGTCAAATGGACCCTGATTGTTGTGTGAAAAATTACAACATTTATATTCTAGGGCGTATATAATTGCCCCCGATGGACACAGAACCGAGAAGTTGGTAGAATATCCCAGAGGAGTGGTTGGCCTTTAAATTGATAGTAATTATATTGTCGTATGTACTAGGACGTGGCAGTTACACTTAAATATTTGCAGGTATTATTTAGTAAACCATTATCACACTAGAGGGCGGAAATATAGCAGTGATCGCTTTGAAATGTTCCATGAGGTTCCAGTTATGGTCAAGGACAACGCCTATAATTTTCGGTGATAATCAGATATAATTATTGGAATGTAGTGGACCGAAAACTTAATTTTTTTTCGAGTCGATTTCTCTACAATTGAAAGCCGAACATCACAACACAACCCACGGTGAAGGGAATAAGGACAAGTAATTAGAATATCTGTAGTGAATATTAGTAACATTTGTTGACCTCTAGACGGTCAAGAGGACGCAAATATCGCAAAATATTGCCCAAGCTCAGAATGTAGTAGCACAGAAAGTTAGATTTTCGTGGAAGTTGTGTAGGGTATCATATGGTTGGCCCCGTCCGACTATACTCCTCCGCTCACTGGTTTAAAAAATATATTTGATGCGAGATTGGTTTAAAAATATGTTTGAGGCTCTATACACGGATTCTGGTTTTTGGTCTTCACATATGGCGTGGTTTTAGCTTAAAAATATATTTGAAGTTTTATGGAGGGTATATTTTAAGCATCCATAGAAGGCGTGGATTTTTTATAAAGTATTTTTGTTTTAAAGCCCCTTTGGAAGGCGTGAATTTTTTTAAAATATTTGTCAATGTAAAAAATAGACCTTTGAAAATTTAATTTTTAAATTATAAAAACAAAAACAGTTTTGTTTCCGTTACACCCCATTATCCTTAAAAATTTATTTGTTACTCTTATCTCACTGCTGATAGCGTCGTAAACTATTTGTGGTAGTTTTTAAATTAAAACACAAAAACATTTAAATTGCATTGTAAAACATATCGTATATAACGGCCAGTCTGCCCACTCTATAAAATAGTGTCCAACTAACCAACTAAATGACCGGTTAGAGGCCATAATGGAGGTGGAGAAAAAAATGTTACACATGCTCACCTATATAAATTTTGTTGTACGACAACAACAACAATAACAATACAATTTTATTTATGGAGGTATTCATTCAAATTGCCACAAACAAACGGTCATTATAAACAATCTCGGTTAACACGTTTGGTGGGGGGAAACAGGATCAGCGACAGGGAACCACAAGCAAGTTAAGGGGGGCGGTGTTTGGGAAAGGAGTGACAAAGTCGGGTGTTAAGGTTCTGTTGGGCCTTTGTGTTGGATGACAACTTAATTTCAATTTTTAATTTTGTCCCCCCCCTCTCCATTATTTTTACTACGCCTCTGTTTTGTCACCTCATATATTATTTAGTTTTGTATATATTTACATACATAAACCTGAATGTTTATGTGGTTTTATTTGTTGTTTGTGAATATGTGTGTGTGTGAGAGAGAGTGTGTATTTGTGTTATTTTTGCCACTTTGTTGTAGTATTTGTTATTATTTCTAGCCATAATAACAACAATTTGGTTTGAGGCTAAAATGTCCTATTTTGGTGAGTGTGTGTGTGCGTGTTATTGTATGAAATAGTTGCAATCAAACCCCAAAATCTCACCACCTGAGGGATGGCCGGATAGTTGGGAATTTTTATAGCTTAATGAACACATTCTGGCACTTAATGGACAAAATACACAAAAAACTAAAAACAAAAAAATAATTTAAGTGCTAAAATAGTTGTTGTGGGTAGATTTTTATTTTGATTTCAACATTTAAGCCGCTTAATTTTAGGGGGGAAACTAAAATAAACCCTCAAAATTGAGTTTTGTGGAAATTTGAAAAATTTGAATTTCGACTTACCTTTGTACCGCTTGCTTGCTGTTGGGCGCCATATGCACCCATTTTGTTGGTCGGTATCAGCGTGTTGTATTGCAAATATTGTCCATGGTGGGCGGGTGGTTGCACTGACATCTGTTGGGCTTGTTGTTGATGTTGTTGCTGCTGTTGCAGTTGTTGTAAATGTTGGCTCTGCGATTTCTTATCTACCACAGCATAGGTGGGTATAATGTGATCATAGGTGGTCGATGAGGTGATCACGGCATTCTGTTCGGCCAAAGCGGCTGTGGCAAAGGCATGATTGTGGGCATTCGTTGTCCATTCGTCGTCTTCGTCGTGGCCATCTAAAGGGGGGAAGAAGACAAGAATTAAAAAATATTTTTTAAAGGGTTTAAAAAAAGTGTTTTTAATGGACCTCAATAACATGTGGGGTTTCTAAACATATTTTCCAGAAACCTCTTAAGGCGTGAATTTTTTAAAAATATTTTTACTATCTCTACAAACTTCTACATAATTTGTGGATTTATTAAAAAATATTTTTCTGGGCTTATACAAGGCGTGGATTTATTAAAAAATATTTTTTAGGATCGCTATAAGGCTGGATTTATTAAAAAAATATTTTTTAGGATCGCTATAAGGCGTGGATTTATTAAAAAAATATATTTTTGGGTTGCTATAAGGCGTGGATTTATTAAAAAAATATTTTTGAAAATCGCTATAAGGCGATTTTCTATAAGGCGTGGATTTATTAAAAAAATATTTTTGAAAATCGCTATAAGGCGATTTTCTATAAGGCGTGGATTTATTAAAAAAATATTTTTTAGGATCGCTATAAGGCGTGGATTTATTAAAAACATATTTTCTGGGTCGCTATAAAGCGTGGATTTATTAAAAAAATATTTTTTAGGATCGCTATAAAGCGTGGATTTATTAAAAAAAATATTTTTTAGGATCTCTATAAGAGATGTGGATTTATCAAGGGCCTACCCTGTGGTACAGGGTATTATATCTTTGTGTATATGTTTGTAACAGGCAAAAATAATCGAGATAGACCCATAGTTCCTTTGAGAATATGCATAGAATCACTTTCTGTGTCGATGTATCCGTCCGTCCGTCTGTCCATGTTAAATTATAAACCAGTAAGGAAAGTAGTAAAGTCGGACGGGGCCGACTATATGATACCCTTCACCACTTTGGGTATATTCAACCGATGAATCCTAAGAGTTGTCGCATTTTTGAAGGACAAGTAAAATGAAATTGGATCCATAAACATGTCATTCTGCAACCTATACTAAATTTTTCCAACATTAGTATATGTTGCAAACATTTAGTTACTTAATTTAAAATCGGACGGAAATAAAAAAGCTATATCAAAATCTAAACTATTTCATCGGAACTTGTCCCAGGTTATGTTATACTAATTTCAGTATGCATATCAGAAACATTTAAGGATCTTGGTGCATCATTTATTAAAAATCGGGAGATAATATATATGGTAGCTCTATCAAAATTTGAGCCGATTTCACCAAAACTTTCCAAATTTTAGAACTTTGATAAAGAATGATATATAATGACTTTGGTATACCATTTAATTAAGTCGGACGAAAATATATGTGGGAGAAATATCTAAATCCGAACCGATTTTCATGAAATTCAACACGCATCGGCTTTGGTGCACTATTTACCTAAAATCGGACGAAAATATATATGGAAGCTATATCTAAATCTTAAACGATTTTCACGAAACTTGGCACACATCATTCTGGACCTAATTCAGTACTCTATGCCGAATTTCGAGCAAATCGAATGATATAAAGGGACTTTGGTGCACCATTTACTTTAAATCGGACGAAACTATATAAGGGAGCTATATCTAAATCTGAACCGATTTTCTTGAAACTTAGCACACATCATTCTGGATCTAATTCAGTACTTTATGCCAAATTTCGTGCAAATCGAATCATATATAGGGACTTTGGTGCCCCATTTACCTTAAATCGGACGAACCTATATATGGGAGCTATATCTAAATCTGAACCAATTTTCTCGAAACGTGGCACACATCGTTCTGGACCTAATTCAGTACTCTGTGCCAAACTTCATGCAAATCGAAAGATATAGAGGGACTTTGGAGCCTCATTTACCTTAAATCGGACGAAACTATATATGGGAGCTGTATCTAAATCTGAACCGAGTTTCTCAAAACTTGGCACACATCGTTCTGCACCTAATTCATTACGCTGTGCCAAATTTCGTGCAAATCGAAGGATGTAGAGAGACTTTGTTGCCCAATTTACCTTAAATCGGACGAACCTATATATGGGAGGTATTTCTAAATCTGAACCGATTTTCTCGAAACTTGGCAGACATCATTCTAGACCTAAATGATTAGGCTGTACCAATTTTCGTGCAAATCGAAAGATATATAGGGACTTTGGGGCACCATTTACATGAAATCGGACGAAACTATATATGGGAGCTATATGTAAATCTGGACCGATTTTTACGAAACTTGGCAGACATCATTCTAGACCTAAACGATTAGGCTTTACCAAATTTCGAGCAAATCGAAAGATATATAGGGACCGTTTACATTAAATCGGTTAAATATATATATGGGAGCTATATCTAAATCTGGACCAATTTTCTCGAAACTTGGCAGACATCACTCTAGGCTGAATTCAGTACGTTACGCCAAATTTCGTGCAAATCAAAAGATATATAGGGACTTTGGGGCACCATTTACATGAAATCGGACGAAACTATATATGGGAGCTATATGTAAATCTGGACCGATTTTTACGAAACATGGCAGACATCATTCTAGACCTAAACGATTAGGCTGTACCAAATTTCGAGCAAATCGAAAGATATATAGGGACCGTTTACATTAAATCGGTTAAATATATATATGGGAGCTATATCTAAATCTGAACCGATTTTTACGAAACTTGGCAGACATCATTCTAGACCTAAATGATTAGGCTGTACCAAATTTCGTGCAAATCGAAAGATATATAGGGGCCGTTTACATTAAATCGGTTAAATATATATATGGGAGCTATATCTAAATCTGAACCGATTTTTCCCAATTTCAATAGGGTTCGTCCTTGGGCCAAATAAGTGACCTATGCTAAATTTCATCCAATTCGGATTATAAATGCGACCTGTACTTTGTTTACAATTTTACATCGACAGACAGACGGACGGACGGACGGACGGACGGACATGCATTAATCGACTCAGAAAGTGATTCTATGCATATTCTCAAAAGGAACCATGTGTCTATCTCGTTTCCTTTTGCCTGTTACAAACATATGCACAAAGACATAATACCCTGTACCACAGAGTGGTGAAGGGTATAACAAAGTACAGGTCGCATTTATTATCCGATTTGGATGAAATTTAGCACAGTTCACTTATTTGGCCTAAGGATGAACCCTATTGAAATTGGGAAAAATCGGTTCAGATTAGATATAGCTCCCATATATATTTTCGTCCGATTTAAAGTACATGGGGCACCACAGTCCCTATATATGTTTCGATTTGCACGAAATTTGGCGCAGCGCACTTACTTACGTGTAGAATGTGTGTTAAGTTTCGTGAAAATCGGTTCAGATTTAGATATAGCTTCCATTTACAGTTTCGTCCGATTTAAGGTAAATGGTTTCGATTTGCACGAAATTTGGCGTAGCGCACTTACTTAAGTCTAGAACGATGTGTGTTAAGTTTCGTGAAAATCGGATCAGATTTAGATATAGCTCCCATTTACAGTTTCGTCCGATTTCAGGTAAATGGTGCATCAAAGTCCGTATATATTTGCACGAAATTTGGCATGGGGTACTGAATTGAGTGTAGAATGATGTGTGCTAAGTTTCTTGAAAATCGGTTTAGATTTAGATATGGGTCCCATATATAGTTTCGTCCGATTTTTTGTGAATGGTGCACCAAAGTCCTTATATACCTTTCGATTTGCACGAAATTTGGCGCAGCGCACTATCTTAAGACTAGAATGATATGTGCTAAGTTTCGGGAAAATCGGTTTAGATTTAGATATAGGTCCCATATATAGTTTCGTCCGATTTTTTGTGAATGGTGCATCAAAGTCCCCATATATCTTTCGATTTGCAGAAAATTTGACATAGCGTACTGAATTGGGCCTAGAATGACGTACGTGAAGTTTCGTGAAAATCGGTTCCGATTTATATATAGCTCCCATATATATTTTACTCCGATTTTTGAAGTAAATGGTGCTCTAAAATCCCTAAATATCTTTCGTTCAATTTTATGTCAATGTTTTTTCGAAAAGGCGACATCTGTTAGGAGCCTATGTTGAATATAACCAAAATGGTGAAGGATGTCATATAGTCGGCCCAGTCCGACTTTACTACATTCCTTACTTGTTTTCTACTTACCCTGTGGTATTATATCCGGATTCTTATCGATGCTGTCAATACTGCTCGTCACATGACAATTGCCACGACCATTATGCATATCATGACTGTTGTGCAGCGAACCCAGTCCATTATTGTTACGCCCCTGTGCTGTCGCCGTGCCATGCATATAATTATTACGATCTCGTCCCGATGAGCCGCGCATGCGTACAATTATCACAATAATAAAGGCGACCAATATGATGCTGACCACAATGCCAACCAATATGCCCAAAAATGGCCGGATATCTTCGATGACGGGAGCATAGGCCAGGGAGAGATCTGCAGAACAAGAATAAAGAAAGTGGAAGAGGGGGAAATGAAAATAGAAAATTAGTAAAATGTTGAGATTTTTTTGACAAATTTTAACCATTCATTGTTAATAAAAAAAACCATCTGCAAAGTTAAAAAATATTTTTTTATAAAAAATAAATTTCAGTGCATTAATTAATAAAAAAACAACATAATTCCTTACTTTTCTTATTGGACTTGGGTGGTGGTGGTGTTAAATTATAAGGTGTACAAGGGGTAGTGGTAGCTGTTGAAGTGCTGACAAGAGTCGCATTATACATAGGCATTGTTGTAACGAATTGTTTTTTGTAAGTAATCAAAACTGAAAAAATATTTGTTATCAAAGAAAAAATAACCAAAAAAATAAAATTTTCAAAACATTTTTTAAATTAAATATTTTTTTTTTCGTCAGGGCTGGGAGTTAAAAAAAATAATTTATTTTCAATATTTTTACTAATTTTAGATTTCCTAAAATTTTTTATTACGATCTTCTTATTTTTGTTAATAATATTTTTTACCAATTCCAACTTCCCATCCCTGCTCATAACCGATAAAATAAAATTTTCAAAATATTTTTTAAATAAATTTTTCGTCAGGGCTGGGAATTAAAAAAAAATAAATAATTTATTTTCAATATTTTTACTAATTTTAGATTTTTTTAAAATTTTTTATTACGATTTTCTTATTTTTGTTAATAATATTTTTTAACAATTCCAACTTCCCATCCCTGCTCATAACCGAAAAAAATCTAGACTAAAAACTACCCAGCATGCTACTAACTACACAATTTTTCTACTTCTACTTTCCAAAAATTTAGATCACAAGCAAATTTGTTCGTTGTCTTCTTCTCCACCTCCATCCCACAGAGAAGAGGGTTGTGTACCACCAATTCATACCGAACTTAAAATTCGGCAAACAAAAACCCCCCAAAAAATGACATATTTTGTAAAACCAAAAACTATGAAAGACTACGAACGGTAGATTTGTTGTTTGTCCACAAACCTGTCTGTTTTTCAGGATCCTTAAGTGTATAGACTTGCAGGATTGTGGCATTACTGCGTCCTTTGCTATTGTGAGCTACCAAAAATACATTATAGCCGGCACCTGGAATCAGGCCACGCACCTCAAAGTAAGGGGTTCTAAAATTTCACAGAAAAAAACAACAAAAATGTTGTCGTTGTGTGGTCGAGATCCAACAGCATGGCGAGGGGGTTGGGTGCGGGAGGTGAGTGTGGGCAGGTCGACGATGTTGTTGAATGGTGGTTTTGAAGTAAGTCAAACGAATGCAGATAGCAATTTGCATACATTTTCAAAAGAGGCCACCAACCAACACACACACCCACACATATACACACACAAAGCAGGAGTTACGCATACACCCAATTGCATTTCGAAACATAATATCAAGTGACAGGATGATTGTCGTCGTCGTCGTTGTTGTTTTTAGTGTGTGGAAGTTGTCGTTGCAGCGCCAGCCATCCAGTCATCATGGAAATGGTGTTTACAACAACATTGCATGTCATTTGTCGTCGCCATCGTTGTTGTTGTAGGACAAAAGATTGCCAGGATATGAAACCATATAGAAGACATTTTTGAAAAATGATAGGAGCAGCAGGAGACAATTTGGAAAAGAAAGAGAGAAGAGAAACAGATTTAAAAATTTAAAAATGTATTTTTTAAAGTCGTCGTATGTTTTTTTGCTACCCACTTAGATTTATAGATTTTCGGATGCCTTGTGGTACCATTCACATATACCTCCATGATGAAATCCTGCTGTAGGCCACCATCAAAACCTTCAAGGCATTCGATTTGAAAGCCAGTGGAGGTTTGGTTTAGCAGGGTGCAATTTACCAAGGGATCGGGTTCACCTGAAAAACAAGAAAAATATATTTAAAAATATTTTTATAGCTCCCATATTTAGTTTTGTCCGATTTAATGTAAATGGTGCACAAAAGCCCCAATATATCTTTCGATTCGCACGAAATTTGGCATAGCGCACTAAATTAAGTCAAGAGTAATGTGTGTTACGTTTCGTGAAAATCGGTTCAGATTTAGATATAGCTCCCATATATATTTTCGTCCGATTTTAGGTAAATGGTGCACCAAACTCCCTATATATCCTTTGATTTGTACGAAATTTTGCATAGCGTACTGAATATGGTCTAGAACGATGTGTGTTAAGGTTCGTGAAAATCGGTTCAGATTTAGATATAGCTCCGATATATATTTTCGTCCGATCTTAGGTAAATAGTGCACCAAAGTACTTATATATCCTTTGATTTGTACGAAATTTGGCATAACGTTCTGAATTGAGTCTAAAATGATGTGTGTAAAGGTTCGTGAAAATCGGTTCAGATTTAGATATAGCTCCCATATATATTTTCGTCCGATCTTAGGTAAAAAGTGCACCAAAGTCCTTATATATCCCCCGATTTGCACGAAATTTAGCATAGCGTACTGAATAAGGTCCAGAACGATGTGTGGTAAGGTTCATGAAAATCGGTTCAGATTGGGATATAGCTCCCATATATAGTTTCGCCCGATATTGAGTAAATGGTGCACCAAAGTCCCTATATATCATTCGATTTGAACGAAATGTGGAATAGAGTACTCAATTAGACGCAAAATAATGTGTGCCAAGTTTTAAAAGATTTAATGTAAATGGTGCACCAAAGTCCCTATATATCCTTCGATTTGCATGAAATTTTGGCATAGGGTACTGAATTACGTCCAGAATGATGTGTGTAAAATTTCTTGAAAATCGGTTCAGATGTGAATATAGCTTCAATATATATTTTCGTCCGATTTAAGGTAAATGGTGCACCAAACTACCTATATTTCTTTCGATTTGCACGAAATTTGACATAGCGTACTAAATTAAGTCTAGAGTAATGTGTGTTAAGTTTCGTGAAAATCGGTTCAGATTTCGATATAGCTCCCATATATATTTTCGTCCGATTTTACCTCAAAGTCCCTATATATGTTTCGATTTGCACGAAATTTGGCATATCGTAATAAATTAGGTCTAGAATGAAGTGTCTTATGTTTTCTGAAAATCAGTTCAGATTTAGATATAGCTCCCATATATATTTTCGTCCGATTTATGTTAAATGGGGCACCAAAGTCCCTATATATCTTTCGGTTTGCACGAAATTTGGCACATCGTCATGAATTACGTCTAGAATGAAATGTCTTAAGTTTCCTGAAAATCAGTTCAGATTTAGATATAGCTCCCATATATATTTTCGTCCGATTTTATATAAATGGTGCACCAAAGTCCCTATATATCTTTCGATTTGCTCGAATTTTTGCATAGTGTACTGAATTGAGTCTAGAATGACGCGTTTCAAGTTTGAAGAAAATCGTACCAGATTTAGAAATAGCTCCCATATATATTTTCGTCCGATTTAATGTAAACGGGGCACCAAAGTCCCTATATATATCCTGCGATTTGCATGAAATTTGGCATAGGGCACTGATTTACGTCCAGAATGATGTGTGCTAAAAATCGGTTCAGATATAGATATAGCTCCTATATTTATTTTAGTCCGATTTAAGGTAACTGGTGTAAAGTCCCTATATATCTTTCGATTTGCACGAAATTTGGCACAGCGTAATAAATTAGGTCTAGAATGATGTGTGTTAAGTTTCCTGAAATCGGTTCAGATTTAGATATAGCTTCTATATCTGACCAAATGAAAAATTTAATATCGGTTGCAGAATGACATGTTTAGGGATCTAATTTCAGTTTACTGGCCCTTCAAACATTCGATGTCTGTTAGGATTCATCTGTTGAATATACCCAAAGTGGTGAAGGTTACCATATAGTCGGCCCGGTCTGACTTTACTACTTTCTATTACGGTTTTCAAGGGCCTACACATGGCGTAGTTTTTTTTAAATATTTTTTTCAGGGTCCTGTTTTCATCCCCTCAATTCTATATTTTTTTTCTATTTTGAAAAATTGCAAAATCTCCGAAAAAGGGCTACTATTACTATTGTTTACTATTGTCCTTTTTTTGTTGTTATTGTTTCCATACAACCATTAGCATAGCTTACTTCCGCTAAACATATCTGTCTCTCTCATTGAGTGTGTGTGTGTATTGAGACAACCACAAATATTAGCATTGTAAAAGCGGAAATAAAACCCGCACACATACATCCACACACACACTAAAAATCACCAGACTATAAATAACAACAATGGTTGAAAAAAACAACACCGAACAAAAACAAACATCCTTAATGGAAGTAACATTAAGGTCCTTGATAACAATTTATGTCACACTACAACATGGACTGTTGGCCTATAAAAAGAAAAATGATTTCCGACCACGACAGACCAGACTGTTGCCTTTCTGTTTCGCTTCCGCTAGGCATTGTTATTTCTATCCCGACTGGCTGCTGACTGAGTAATGAATGAAAACTGGCGTTTGGTTCAGAATCAAAATTAATTAATGGTTGAATGACTTTAGCTGATTGACTCGATGCGCAGAGAGGAGGCGAGCGGTTCATCACTGTGTAACTGTACTACCTTGAGTCCCTACGCTTCATAAAACATTTGATTTGACAGTTAACAATGTCCAGTAACATGCCAAAGGATAGTTAGGATGATTTGAATGCATCGTTCTCGCGGTTGGCTGACTATCTAACTGACATTTATAGGGAAATTGTGCATCCCGAGCGAAACAACACTCCACACTTACCTGCTGGTGCAATGGTGTAGACACAGGGTTCTGTTTGATCGCCGATTTCATTACTGGCCCAACACAGTAAAGTGCCATAGTCCTGAAAAAAAAAAAAAAACGAAACAAACAACAATAACAATGTTAGAATTACAGTTACGAATGCGTTTTTCTGCAGTGATTGAACGAATGACGGAATAGATGAATGACTGAGTGAATGAATGGATGCATGGCATGGCATATGCCACCATTTTCCAATTTTGAAAAGTTTCCAAAACAATGTAGCGACCGTGTAGACACACACATACATTTATACATCTGCAGCACTGATTGTTTGCTTGTTGTATGGAGGCGTTGCAAATCAGCGACCACATCTGTAAAACCCCGAAAGGATATGAACGACCGCAATTCATTTAGCTAATTATGGAAATCTATTTTTGGGTGATTGTGATAATTAATCGTGTAATTAAAATTAGCTTCAGCAGGAGAAAAACAAAATGGACAAACAAGGACAATTGACCATAAGGATAAATTGAAAATTGCTATGGGGAGGAAAACATATTTTTGAAAGGACAAAGAGAAGGCTTAGATTTTTAAAATATTACTGAAATCATAATTTTTAAAGTCGAATAGAGGGTGTGCATTTTTAAAGAATAATTTTAGGGACCTATATAAGACTTAGATTAAAAAAATTAAGGCGTGGATTTTTTAAAAATATTTTTTTCAGAGACATATGATGTGGATTATTAAACAAATATTTTAGGGACTTAAAAAGGAGTGGTTTAAATAAACATCTTTTGGGGGCCTATATAAGGCGTGGATTTCTAAGAAATATGTTTTAGGGACCTATATAAGACGTGGATTTTGAAAGAATGTTTTTTCAGGGACCTACAAAAGGCGTGAATGTTTAAAAACTATTTTCTAAGAACCTGCAGAAGGCGTAGATTCTTAAAGAAGGCGTGGATTAAAAAAAAAAACTATTTTCTAAGGACCTACAGAAGGCGTGGAGTTTTGAAAAAAAATATTTTCTAAGGACCTACAGAAGGCGTGGATTCTTAAAGCAGGCGTGGATTTTTTAAAAAAACTATTTTCTAAGGACCTACAGAAGGCGTGGATTCTTAGAGCAGGCCTGGATTTTAAAGACTATTTTCTAAGGACCTACAGAAGGCGTGGATTCTTAAAGAAGGCGTGGATTTTTAAAAACTATTTTCTAAAGACCTACAGAAGGCGTGGATTCTTAAAGGAGGCGTGGATTTTTTAGAAAAATATTTTCTAAAGACCTACAGAAGGCGTGGATTCTTAAAGGAGGCGTGGATTTTTTAGAAAAATATTGTCTAAGGACCTACAGAAGGCGTGGATTTTTTAAAAACT